TTTTATTAAAAAATAAAATCACAATGCCAGTAGGGGGGTGCCCTTCCCTCTCTAGTACGCTGCGTGGTGCTCAGTGAGCTCATGGCGGACCACGACGTGACACTCCCCCTGGGCGACGCAGTTTCCCAGGGGCAACGCAAGGTAAGGGTCGGTGCGACGCTTCACCGCTGCCATCAATTAGTCATTTAAGCCCTACGAGTTAGTCCAGTGATTATCGAACCTCGCCTTCTGTCTGCTCAGAGGTTCGACTTTGACACGTGGTAGATGTCAACTGCGCTATATGGCATGCGGCATGCGTATGTACCTGAGAACTGTATGAAACCGTACTCTGAACTCTTGATGGCCTCGACGGCACTCACTCACTCCACATTTGGTCGACCTGCAATTGTTGTGTCTGCGTGCGCACATGCCGCGAGTGTTTAAACGTGTCGCCATGCGATGGGCGCCCTCTCGGTTGGCAACCCGCCTCCCGCCGCGCTGGCTTGGTTGCCTACCCGCTGCTCCGGCAGGCGCTCCGCGTTCATATTTCGCCGGCGTTTACTCGTATTTCAACCGAGCGTCGCCGTGGCGTCCTCTCGAAGATGGGCTTGTCTGCGATTATAGTGTATGTGACTAAAACTTGTTTTTAATCTGTGTGTTGCATGAGCCATCGTTTGCCCATTTCGTGGTGCACTCTCCCAGCTGGACGCTGTCCACCACCAGCACTGCCTTGAAGCCGCTTGCAGCTGCCGCTTGTGTGCCCCTGCACACCGCTCTTGATATGCAATAAATACTAGTTTCCAATCAGCTACAAATTCATGCTTTGCTTACTTAACCCTGATTACTTATTCCTTCGTTGCACTGCCTTCCCAAAATAATGTGATGTTGATAATCACCAGCGCGAAGGTAGGTGCAGCGTGTGGCAGTCCCTGTGCGACAACAACAACAGTTGGACGATTCAACGAGAAGATTGGTGTGTACGCTGAACACAAGTCGAGGGTGTGTATGTGAGGGGGGGGGGCACTCTAGCCCGGAACTAACAGTATTAATGGAAAAGAACGAGCACATGTATTCGTAGAAACATAGTGTATTTTTCACTGCAGTTGTTATAAATATGATGAGAAATTCTTATTCCGCAGCCACTTGGAATGTCCTCGCACTCGGCGGCACGACACTTGAAACAGAGAGAAAACAATGTGAGTTATCGTTAGACCGGTGCGCCAAACGGACGGGCCAGATGAGGGTCGTGCAGGTCGCCCCCGCGGTCTCCAGGAAAGAGGAAAAAAAATTAGCCCGCAGGTCTGAGAAATACAGTCCCCTCGATCAGGCCACAAAGGTTCTCCTCCAGTTTTTCGTACAGCTCAAGTAGTTTCAGCAGTCCACGCCAATCCGCCGTTGTGGCGCCAGGCGCGCTGCCCCCCTCCTCTCTCCTGCCATCCTTTCACCCGGGGCAGAGGGGAGGGGGACGAAGCAGCGGCCGGTCCACCGCCTGGGCTGGCCGCGCTCTAGCGGCGGCTGCCGGCTCTGCCCAAACAAACGGACAACTATGATAAGTTATGATGGATTTAGTCTCGTTGAAGCCAGTGAAGCTGAAGCCACCCCTTCATTTGTTTTGGGTGATCTGATTGGCTTCTGGCTGGTGAAGCCAGCTTCACC